TGTGTGAATCACAAAAAATTGTGGCTATCATTGAGAAGAACGTGAATCCTGGAATATCTGATTGTCCTCATCTGAGACCTATACTTGGACTAGGAGACAGTCATCAGAATGGAGCAAGGAAATACTGCATGGTTCAAAATTAGGAATGGAGGTGCTCAGGATTGCGTCCTGTGTCTATCACTTTTCAGTCTATTTGCAGACTAGATCACTCAGGAGGCTGGACTTTATGAGGAGGAATGTCCAGAGTAAGACTCATCAAAATGCAGATGAAACAATCCTGCTTACTTAAACTGAGGAGGGCCTAAAGCATTTGTTGCAGGTCAAGGACTATAGTCTCCAATATGGATTGAAGCTCAACATCAAGAAAACAAAGATCCTCACCATTGGACCAATTGGCAGCATCATGATAGATGGAGAAGAGATTGTAAACAATTTCATATTGCTTGGTTCCACAATCAACACTCTCAGCACTAGCAGTCAGGAAATCAAAATACCAATGGCATCAGGAAAATCTGCTGCCAGGGACCTCTTCAGAGTGCTAAAGAACAAAGATGTCAGTCTAGAGACTAAAATGCTATTTTGTTCTTGTTTTGTGCAGTCGAGTTGCTTGTGACTCATAGAGACGCTATGTACAATATCTCTGGACTCTGTTCTATCCTGTGCCAACATTATTGTCTCTGACACACCTTCCCTCATTACCTCAGTCACTGAATCAATCCATCTCATGAAGGGTCTTCCTCTCTTGTGCTGTTCCTCCACCCTTCCAAGCATGACGTCCCTCTCCAAGGACCTGTCCCTCCTTGCATCCGATCAACTGCCTCTGAAAACCCACCCTGTGGAGGGTCAGCTATGGCTCGGTTCTGACTCAATGGCACAAAACAACAAAATTAACTAGTTGTTTTAAAAACAGAGTGTTATTCAGTCTATGTATATTTTCTTTCCTCCTCTTGTTCTCGGTACTGTTTTCTAATGTATAGCATTATTTGAGAAGATGCTTTGTAGTAGTTTAATGTTTTTTAAGTTATTAGAACTTCCTTTGCAGTCTCACCATGCTTTATCCTGGAAAACAATCCATACAGACTGGAAAAGAACGTGTGCTGTAATGTTGCTGACTAGAATATTCTCCATACACCTAGGAAGTCTAGTAGGTTGATTGTGTTGATTTTTCTGTATCTTTATTGACTTTATTTCTGGTTTTCCCATACTTTGTTGAAGGTGGTATATTAAAATCTACTATCATTATGAGGATTATGCAGAATAGGGCAAGGTTCAGATGCATTTTAATAAACTCAAAGACACATAAAAAGTGCTTGCTGCAGAAGGTCAAGGACTTCAGCATTCAATATGGATTGAAGCTCAACAATTTGATGGATGGGTGGGGTGAAGGAAATGAGAAAGACCTTTTGTGAAAACAATGTGTTCAAACTTTGTAAATAAATCAGAATAAGATAAAAAAAATTAAAAAAGAAAACAAACATTCTCACCACTCAGCCAATAGGCAGCATTATGGTAGATGGTGAAGAGATTGAGAATGTTAACAGCTTTAGCTTGCTTGGCTCTACAATCAACACTCTTGGTACCAGCAGCCAGGAAATCAAGAGATGAATTATGTTGGAAAAGTCAGCTGTCAGAGACCTCTCCACAGTACTAAAGAGCAACAATGTCAGTCTAGAGACTAAGGTGCACCTGACTCAGGCCATGTTGTTGTTGTTGTTGCCTTCGAGTTAAGCATGACTCATAGTGACCCTATGAACAAAAGGCCTGAAGCTCCTCTACAACTATCGGCATTTATAAAGTGCACACAGTTTCCAGAGGAATGTTATTTAGGAAGTCTTCGCAATTACTTGCTTTGCGTCAGAGAGCTGGACAATGACTAGGTATGATAGAAAGAGAATTGATGCCTTTGAGCTGTGGTGCTGGAGAGGAGTGTTAAATATACTATGGACTTCCAGAACAAACAGATTTGACCTAGAGAGGGTGCAGCCAGGCTGCTCCTTGGAGATAAGGATTCTGAAACTTTGTCTGACATATTTTGGGCATGTTGCAAAGAGGGACTGGTCCTTAGAGAGGGACATCATGTTTGGAAGGGTAGAGGGATGGAGAGAGAGAGGAAGATCATAGATGAAATGAATTGATTCAGTGACTGGGGTAATGAGGGTAGGTGTGTCATAGACAGTAAAGTTGGCACAGGATAGAGCAGGTTTCAGGGCCGTTGTACATAGGGTTGCTATGAGTCACAAGTGACATGATATGACTCAACAGCACATAACAACCACCACCACCATTACTTTGGAGATATATATTTCTCTTTTAAGTCCTCTACAAGTTTAGTTTCCACATTTTAGAGTTCTTTCTTTGAGTAAGTAGGTATTATGCTTGAGTCCTCTGGCTTGATTCACTCTTTAATTGTATAATGTCCTTTGTTTCTTTTATTTAGTCTATTTTATTAGAAATTAATAGTAGTCAATGGTTAATTTTTCAGAAGTGCATCTCCAAGTCTTTTTTTTAGATGCTTCTAGGTATATTCAAACCTCCTACCTTTAGGTTAACAGGCAACAGTTAGCCATTTGTGAGTGCCAAGACCACCACCAGATTGGTTTTCCCCACATGCGACTCTGGGGGAAGAAAAATCAATACTTCGCTGAGCAAGCGGCTGCATTATGGAAACTCCTAACTTTATGGCCATGACCATTAAAATATCAACAACTTAGTACAACAAAAACTCCTTCTGTCATACATAGATCAAACATAGGTTAGCTGACTCCTTTGCATCTTTCTTCGTACATATTGTTTTCTATATGCTTTGGATGCCATACAAACCAACACCCCTCTCTGTCCTGTGTGAACTACCCAAGTGACTCGATGTGTAGCTGTTGAAGTCGTCTTGACAGCAGCTTCTATCTGTTAAGCTCCCTAATAAAGCTGGAACTGATCACCTTGATATTTCTGCCTCTTTGGCTTTGGATACGACCTGTGCACCTTGAAACCACTCTTGCTATTGGCCCAATGGAGCGTGACCCCGTTTGCATCCCCAAGAAATGTTACCCTTGTTTTCAGGCACCTTTTGTAATGAGGCCTTCTTCCCCACTCCTCCTCAATCCCTGCTGTCTGGTCGGAAGAACAGCAGAACTCCTGAATCCTTCCAAAACCACAGGAGTTCTTTCTGATGTAGTAAAGCACACAGGCTCAGACTTCTAGAACAACAGTTCATCTCCAACTATTTCTTCTTCACACGCTTATTGAATAATTTCGTATGTTTTAATCTGTGACCTAATTGGGCCAGTTTCTTCCACTTTGGATTGGTGGGAGATAGGGCAGAAAGGGGCAGGTGGACGAGGCAATGAGCCTGTTAGGAAGATTCTATGTAATCTAATGTCTCCAAAGAGTACGTCTTCATAACAAATCTATATTCTAATGTATAAAAATTAACCTGGCAGGTAGCCAAAACCCCAAATATGTTGCCACTGAGTTGGTTTCAACTCCATGTTACCCAGTATTACTGAGCTTCATAGAATTTTCTTGCCCAGGACCTTTTATAAAAGAGCAGTTTGCCAGGCCTTTTTCCAGAGCACCATTGAGTAAATTTAAACCACCAACCTTCTAGTTAAGGCAGTTACAAACTGCACCATCCAGGAACCTAATGGATAAGCACTACTTTTTTTTTTTTTTAAATCTTTTGTTTTTTTCCAAGAAGACAATAAAAGTCCAAAGTTTTCTTTTTCATTAAAAAAAAGAAATAGTTTAAAAGTATTTTTTAATGAAAAAGAGAACTTTGGACATTTATTGTCTTCTTGGAAAAAAACGAAAGATTTTGATCATAATAATCTGGTAAATGATACTTTATATTATACAAAACAATGCACACATTGGAATGTACAATTGTGGGCTTCTCATGATCCTTTTTATCAGCTGCTTTAGTTGTATCTTCATTTTATTTCATATATTCCCTTTGTGGCTCTAGTCTCCACTTAAGAAAGTAGTTTTTTAAGTGTTTTATAGCTTTTGTTTGTCTTTTTCCCCTTTTTTAAAATTATTTTCATGAAAGTTTAGAGACTTTGGATTTCCATTCATTCATTGTTGCAATTTTCTCCCTGCCCACCCCTCCCCCAAGTTCACTCTTCACTTTGAAAAGAAAAAGAAAAATTCTCTCATTGTTATACAATCCCTCCCCCCATGTCCACTCCACTGTACAGCCTTCGTTCTGGACTCCTGTCATGACAATACTACCTAATCATCTATCCCTTTTAAACAGTTCTCTCCCTCATCTGTTTCAATGCAGTATACAAGAAGAGAGGATAAATTTTATTGCTATCTTAACTAGCACATAACAGAACAACAAAAGAGAAAACAAGTGAACCTAATTCACTGACTGCAGTGCCCAACATGTACTTTGCAGAAGAAAAATGGGCAGTCTCTTCCCGTAACAATTTGGAGCCTTGAAACCCCAGCGGAGAACAGTCATGTGTTGGAATCAACTTGATGTCAGTCAGTTTGGTTTGGTTTAATGTCAGAATTAGAGGTAGAATTAGTATTTTTCTACAATAAAGTAAAACAATCTTTTCTAGAAACAAACCTAGCATTACCATAAAATAATATCTTTAATGTAGTTGATACATCTTTGAGTGTAAAAGCAAGAAAAAAGTATGACACTAAATAATCATAATCATACAGCTTTAATTACAGCTCTAGATTGTAACGTGAGCAATCAACAAATACTGTGGTGTGTACACATTGAGGTGGCTAATAAAAAGTAAAGATCTCTTATTGTCACATGACATCCAATCTCTCATCCACAAAACCATCTGCCTCTCATACTTTGTGTCTCTTGAAGGACTTTAATACAGGACAGTTTAGGTATAACACAAATTGTCATAGTTTGGTGCAGGAAAAGCAGCGTTGAAATAAAAGATGCTAATAAAGGTCAAGGCAGTGTCTTGGTGAAAAACTTGCCAAGGGCCGCAGTGGTCAGTTTCTTTAGCCCTTTTCTGCCCATTTCTTGTCTAGTTTTCAGGACATTCTTGTTGGCTCTTTGTGGCCTCTGCCTCCCTGGCCAGCCTTTCTGCCCTCAGGGCCAAAGCCAATCTCTCCCTTGCTTTCTTCACTTTCTGTGCCTGTTTCCTGGTATCTCCAGAAGTTACCAGCTGTCCACTGGCATTCCGTGAGAGAGACAGACCTAGCCCTGGGGCAATCACTGCCACGTTGAAATACTGTTCAGGGCTTGTAATAGGGAACATGAACGGACCCTTGTCATCAACACAGCCCAGGGACATACCTCCACCAGAAGGTGTGATTCTTTTCAATACATTTTTGAAGTCCGGAGCCTTTAGCGGTTCTCCCGTGCTGCTGCAGGCCTGGAGCCCCTGCAGTCTCATGTATATGTACGCCTGTTGGGGATTCTCCAGCTGCTCCTCATATTGGCCACGCCTGACCTCATTGCCTGGGAAGCAAACAATCCTAGTAACTGGTTTCTGGAATATACAGCTGGTCAACCGTACAGGGATTTTAGAACTTAAATCAGGCTTCCAGTTGACCTCAGTTTCACGCTTACATTTCCTCTGTGAAGTTTGAGCCATCATATTTCTCTTGAGTTTCCCCTTTAAAAACAAAAGAAAAAGTGAAATTGTAACAAATGGGGAAGGAAGACTCCCCATCTCTTTCTCACCAGGGATAAAGATGTTTCAGATTTTACCCATGAATTGAAGTTTTTGTGGGGAGTGTGTAAGAACTCAGGATTTATAGACCTGACACCAGAAGGTCTGATAAAGCAGGTCTGGGGAAGGGGTGTCAGAATCCTCATTGCTAAGAAATTGTTGATGTAGCTGTTGCTGTACCTTGTGGCCTCCAACTCATAGTAACCCTATATGGAACAGACCACAATTGTACCTGATCCACCACCATTACCTCTTCTGGTTGTTTCAGTCACTGTGTCAATCCATGGAAACTGTAAAACTTTTCATTTCGTTTAGATCCACATCAACACCCATGGAAGCTACAGTTAAGATGTTAAGATGATAGCGTATTATGATTATCACAGGAATCCAGAATTAAGGTTGCATAGTGGAATGCATTTGGGGCAGGGGCAGGGGTGGGGGGATTGTGTACCAAGGAAGAAATTTATCTTTTGCTTTTCAAAGAGAGGTGCGAACTGGGGGGAGGGGGTAGAGAAAGAAGTGCAACAATGAATGAATAAAAATCCAAAATCTTTGTAAATGTTCATTAAAATTAATAAAATAAAATTTTAAAAAAGAATATATTTCCATAAAATTCTAATTGTGTTTATCTTGGTTGCTAGATAGCTCACAGGAAAAAGGAATATTCAATACAGTAATTCTTTCTGCTTTTAGAACATTTTATTACCTTCTTCAACTATTTATTTTATATTTTCATTTTAGCATGGATGCCATATATAGGTGTAATACATTTTGTGTGACTTTTGGGAAAAGATGAGTTATATATTATTTACAATAAAAAGAGAGCTCAGTGCAAGAGGAAAAAGAAAAAAAAAGATGTTAAGATATCCAACAGCATTTTCATTTGGCAAGTGTGCTGTAAAAGACCTCTTTAAAGTACAAGCAAGGATGTCATTTTGAGGACTAAGGTGTGCCTGGCTCATGGTATAGGCATTTCATTGGCCTCGTATGTATGTGAAAGTTTGACAATGAACAAAGAACATTGAAGATGAATTTGTGCCTTCGAATTGTGGTGCTGGCAAAAAATATTGAAGGTACTGTGGACTGACGAACAAACAAATCTGTCTCAGAAGTGCAGTCAGAATGCTAATTAGAAGCAAGGATGGTGAGACTTGATGTTGTATATTTCAGGCTTGTTACCAGGAGGGGCTAATCCCTTCAGAAACACACCACCATTGCTTTTATAGGCACCATATATTGAGAATGTGAACTTTAGCCATTGTCAACCAGATGTGATCCAAAGACAGAAAACATCAAAAACCAGATCAGTTGCCATTCTCAATCATGGAGACACATGAGTGTCAGCAGATCTGCGTTTGATCGGGTTGTCAGCTCCAGTGGTTGAGTGGTAAGAAGCTGCACTGCAATCCCAAACACAGGTGGTTTGAACACCCTGACTGCTTTTCAGAAGAACAATGGGCAATTTCTTCTGTGTGATTAACTGCCTCTAAAAAACCTGCTGAACGGTCAGCTATGGGTTGGTTCCAAATCAACAACACACAAAAAGAATCTTGTGAAAGGGTATCACCAGGTCGTTGAGGAGCCTCTGGGGACCTGAAACTGCCAACTTTTAAGTTATCAACTGAGAATGGTAATCATCAGCACTACTTAGAGATTCCAAATACCCAGCCACTTAAATACCTTTTTTCCTACATTATCCTTTGAGGATGTTACTTCCTTTCCATCCCTGTAATTAACAACATGATACATGATTAACCCGCCATCTACCACTTCTCTGTCAGGGTTGGTTTTTTTGTACTGTGTAGACTTGTGTATTGCTTTGATGGTAGAAGTTATACCACCAGATGTCATATACATCAGATACGAGCAGAGTCCTCTAGTAGTAGGGAAGAGGTTTCAGGTGAGCTTCCAGACCAACACAGACTAGGGAGAAGGCATGGTGATCAACTTTTGGGAAAAACTAGCCAGTTAAAAATCTTATGGATAGCAACCAAACATCATCTTACATATTGCTGGAGTACGAGCCCCTCAAGTAGGGAGGCATTCATAAGAAAATATTCATAGGGTTGTTGGGTGTTGTATTCAGCTCAACAGCACTTAACAACAACAACAACAACATTCCAAAGAAAAACAATTCCATGGAATGCTGAAAATATTGAAAGATATCATTAATATCAAATGCAACTAAAATTATGCTGAAGATTATTTTTTTTAAATGTTTCAGTAGTTCATGAACAGATGTTGTTGTTAAATGTCATTGAGTCAAGTACAACTCATAGCAATGCTATGAACAACAGATCTGAACCCTGTCCTATCCTGTGCCAACCTCACAATCTCTGACACACTCAAGTGCGTTGCTGCAGTCGCTGTGCCAATCCTCCTAGCGGCAGATCTTCCTCTCCTTCACTCTTCCTCCACCTTTCCAAGAGTGATGTCTTTCTTTAAGGAACAGGCTCTCCTAGAAACATACCCAAAGTATGTGAGACAATGCTTAGACATCCTAGCCTCCAAGAAATATGTTTTTTCTTTTGGCAGTCCATGGGATGTTCAGTGCTCTCCTTCAACACCACACTCCAAAGCCATTTTCCCCCACTTCTGTCGTTTTTGTTCATTGTCTAGCTCTCAGCAGCATAGCAATTGACTGAAAAGACCCTGATATGAATCAGGCACACCTTAGTCCTCAAACTAGCATCATTGCTCCTTAATAATTTGGAGAGGTCCCTCATAGCAGACTTTTCCAACATACTACATATCCTGATCTTCTGATTTCTGGTGCCAAGTACATTGAGTGTGGATCATGCATAGGTAATTGTCAGAAATTCAATCTGAATCAGAAGAGGTTGTATAATAAGAAATATCATTGCTTGTGTCAGATATATTTGAGCTGAAAAGGGAAGATACAGTAATTTTGTTTATCTGTGTTTTATTGACTTTACAAAGGCATTTGAGTGTTGGATAAGAACAAATTGATAGTAACATTGGAAAGAATAGAATGAAACTCTAGAACACTTAATTGTGCTCCTATGTAACTTGTACATAGACCAAGAGTTAGTTATTCAGACACAAAAAGGGATACTGTAGAGTTTAAAAACAGGGAAGGTGCATGTAAATATTGTATCCTTTCATCATACATATTCAATCTCTGTGCTGTGCAAATAATCCAAGAAGGTAGTCTGTATAAAGAAGAGTGGATCATCAGGAAAGGAAGAAGACTCATTAACACCCTGTGCTATGCAGACGATACAAGTTGGTGGCTAGAAGTGAGGAGGTCGTGAGGCACTGATGAAGCTTAAAGACCATAATCTTCAGTAACCTTGCTTGCTGAAACAGAAGAGGACAGGAGACGTTTGCTGCAGAAGGCCAAGGACTGAAGTCTTCAATATGGATTGAAGCTTAATGTCAAGAAAACAAAGATTCTTACCACTGGGTCAATCGACAGCTTCATGATGGACAGAGAAGAGATTGAGATTGCTGATAACTTCAGCTTGCTTTGCTCTACAATCAATACTCTTGGCATCAGCAGTCAGGAAATAAAGAAGTTAATTGCATTGAGAAAGTCAGCTGTCAGAGACCTCTCTAGAGTAAGTAATGAAGAGCAATGATGTCAGTCTAGAGACTAAGGTGCATCTGATCCAGGTCATGATCTTCACAATTACTTGCTATGTATTCAAGAACTAGACAAGAATTAAGGATGCTATGCTTTTGAGTTGTACTGGAGATGAGTCTTGAACATACCATGGAATACCAGGAGTGCAAACAAATCTGTCCTGGACAGGGAGAAACCAGGCTGTTCCCTGGAGGTCGAGACAACATACCTTGGGCTTGTAGCCTGGAAGTAGCAGTCCTTGGAGAGGAACAGTGTACTTGGAAGGGTGGAGAGACAGGACAAGAGAGGAAGACCCAGGAAGATGGATTGACTCAGTGACTGGAGAAATGGGATTAGGCCTGTTGGAGATGATAAGATTGACTCAGGATGCAACAGGCTACATATCATTGTGATGAGTCACAGGTGACTCAATGGCACATAACAACAACAACAAATATATATATGA